ATTCCGCCCGCCGTCAATAGACTGGGCCGTTCGTTCCCATTCCCCTTTTCTTCCTCCTCCAGCAGGGATTGGATTGCAGTATGTGCGTCTCCCCCCATTCATTATCGAAGAGTCCGCTGAGAGACCCTGCTCGTCATCGCGCGGTGGGATGGGGTTGATGGCAGGGTCGTAAGACTCTGGCCGTTCATCTGCTAATGATGTCGAGCTGGGCCGTCGATTCGGTGTGTAGACTGTCAGCGGAAGATTTGGGCTGTGTCGGTCGATGGGAAGGGCATTGTCATTTGGCGGGAGAGATCGTTGAGTTGGAAAGTGGAGGGAAATTTGGACGGATTGTGATTGTGATTACGCGCAGCGTCCAGCTTCATCGCCCCTCGAAGGACGTGTTGTCATTGTTCACGGCTCTGCGGAAATTGGTGTCAGATCGATCCATTGAATAACGTGTGAAGCAGTACATACCTCAGAGAAGTGGGCCTTAGGCCGAAAGGAAAGACGGTCCCGTCACGGCTGACGAAGGCGTGACGAGCACAGGGTGCAGCCAAACAAACCCGAATCGGGGTATGGTGAGAGATCGTGAACGATCCATCTGCAGAACGCGTGCCCACTTCACGATCTATCTGCAGAACGCGCGCCCACAACCATATGCGAAGCGAGCACCCACTCTTGCCGAGAAGATCCCGCCCCACGCGTGCGCGAAGAGAGCACTGCACAGCGCACGCGAGCCGCCAGTCCTCACTCTCCCGGGTCCCCCGCCCTCGCGGGATGTGAACAACCCAAAGGATGGACCACAATGGTCTGGCACAGGTGAGCACTGCGTTCACAGCGCTGGACAGGCTGTGGAGCTCGAACGAGGATCTGACAACTGCGGCAGCACCCAACCAGGAACCGAAAGAGTGGAGAAAGTGGTAGGTTTTTCTGATCCTATTCAGGATCCAGGATCCCAACCCTTCCTCCACCCGACCCTTGCACCACCAAGGCCTTTGTTTGGTCTCTAGGACCCTGCCTATGCGGGAGCGTCTTGTGGGAGCTTGGAGTGTCTTTTTTACGCTTTTAGGCCCATCTTTTCGTACATCATTTACCTTTTGCCCCCAGCCAAAATTTCTAAGAAACACTTCGTGCCCGAAAAAAAGACGCTCCGACCTAAATCTACAGACGATCCCCCATCAGATCCCCCACGGCAATCTGGCCCCCTCCCTCGGCCTCTTTTTCAACATCACCTGTGCCCCCCTGTGCTCCCCCCCACACCTGTGTTGCTCAATCACTGCAGTTCTCAACAAGCTGCACCTCCTGTGAATACTCGAGCCCAGGAATACACAAAGAGGTGTAGCTTGGGGGAGGAGACACAATTAAAAAACAAAGAACATATGATATTGTGGTAAGTTCTCACTCAATTTTTATGTTCTGGCACTTACAAAAACTATCTAGTTATCAGAAAATACAAGCCCCATTTTCGAGAAGCTGCGCGTTGACGATCCAACTCGTCGGAATTTTTTTGGGGGAGACATCACCAAAAAAACACGGATAATGCAATATTATTGTAAGTTCCCATTCGATTTTTACGTTCTAGGGCTCATAAAAACCGTCTAGCTAGTGCGAAACACGAGCCCCGTTTGCGAGAAGCTGCGCGTCGACGATCCAACTCGTCGATT